AGCTGGCTGGGACAGATTGGGTTAATCCAATTCTGTTTCCTCTATTTCAGTTTATGTATTCTACCAATGACAACATCACGCACTGACTTAACCCACTCTGGAAGACATTCAACAAGTTCTCTTCTTTTTGGCCGATTGTTTTGGCATATGCGTCGACGGCATTCATCATGATTTTAAAGTTGTATAAAATATATATGTATATGTGAGAGAGAGAGAGGACCGAGGGTCGGGGTGACCCAGTCCTATGATAAAGCGCCGCAGTTGACGGTACAAAGCTGTCTATTTAAGCGTGCCAGAAACTTATGATCGCGGGTTCGAAAACCGGTTCGCCATGATTCTGTTTCCATACATGTGGTCGTGGGTTTAACAAAGTGGTAAACGTCAAAGTCCTACAATGTACATCACTGCGGTATTTTCTCCAACATCAAGCTGACACGCCGTGAAATAATTAAAATACTGTTCAAAGCGGCGTTAAACCAATCCGATATTTTCCCACAGTTTGTCCACTTAACTAGCAATAGCGACAATGTTACTTTCCCAACGTGTGCATATATTCTGCTTATAGTATTCACAGAAGCCGACCACTTCACACACACCTGGAAAATCACTTACGCTTCTCATTTTATGGTAATGTCACTTCCGCATTCCATTTGTTGTAACACGTATCAGAAAATAACATAACATTCTTGTCAACAAATACTGACAGTAGCTCACGTATCCTACAATATTAGTAATGCATATTCTATCACAGGCCCACATCTTCCGTGTTATAAGAACCAGGGATTCATTCCAAAGCATATCTCAACAGAGAATGCCAACTGGAAGTGTTACACGTAAGTTCATGTCGACAGGTAATACTTGCAACACAACATGCTTCAACGGTATCTGGGCTAATTGATAAAGCATGTCTCGGTGCTCCCCGGGAGCTGAAAGTGAGTGGATGGCCCTCCAACTAAGCTCTGTGTTGTTACAAAGCTGAGGGGCGACTTTTTCCACGGTCAAAACGCTCCGAGTGCTTGATGTAGGAATTCCTAGGTAGACGCCAAATGTTTGAGAGAAACATCTTAAGGCTCCACAATTATCCTTGGACACATTCTTGAAGATAAAGGAAAGGTTGACTTTGTTGACACATCCACTCGAACTCACATGTGAGAAGTTATTTTGTGTGTTTGTTCACTGTACATCCTAAACAGCTATGCATCATGTGCACAAGGTGAAATACTGAAGAATATATATAACCAGCACTGAATCGGATGCATGCCTGCATTTACTCCGATCAAAACATATGATATGGACGCATTGTTATCATTGCTTGGCTTCCTTTATTTGCTCATCATTTATTTCGTTTTTGACAAATCTATCGTAACTATGGTAATTGATATCGTAAGTCAAAAGACTACTATCCAGAATAATTAAAGAGTCAGAGAATGAGTATTGTGTTATGCCGCTTTCAGCAATATTCCAACCATAACATTCCAGCCAGCCTGAGGTTATTTCTCTTACGACTGTTGTCTATCTCTTTCCGAGCAAAGACTCATTTATTTCAATGTCGTATCCCGCGGTGTATGCTTATCATTATCTACCTAGACATTTACTTCGCTTCGGGCTTTTTGTCAGATATCTCTTGATGTTTCTGGATATCTCCAGCTCGCCAGGCTTATCTCATGCATGCAGCAGTATCACACATTCGATTCCCTTGCCACACACCCAAATGAAGATTCTTATGATATCTTCAGCTCACCAGGCTTATCACATACATGCAACAGTATCACACATTCGTTTCCCTTGACACACACTCAAATGAACATTCTTATGATATCTCAAGGGCCCCTACTCTCCCCCGCCACCCCCAGCCCCGAATATGAATGAAATGGTCAGTCCGCAGACAGTCCCCAAGGATTGTACCCAAGAACCAAACAACTTACATAAAACGTCAATTGTAGTTCAAGTCCAGTTCAATCACTAATATAGCCGAACGTCTGCAGTGTCAGTTTAACCCTTAATGGGCATCCTTGTCATTATTGGCCATAACACTTAGAGGAAGTAAGTGTCAGATATCGACATGCTGTACCTACATCTTCCTCACACTTGTCAGGGGCTTCATCATTTTCATGAAAGATTACATTATGTAAATGGACACTTAAAGCATGACCGAAGTTTAGCAATTCCCAAAGCGCCAGTCATAAGTTACCCTGTGACCTTTGGTTTCGTCTGTCCCATGACACACATTGAATGACTCTAAGGCAGTTCTTGGCCGATTGGGATCAATATAGTTTTCTGTGAAAATTCAGATATAAGGATTACGAGCCAAGGCAAGTACATTGCTAACTTTGACCAGTAGGGCGGTGCTGTAGTCTGGTGGTTAAACCGTTGTCAAACCGAGGCCCGGGTTCGATTATACACCTGGGATTTATGAGTTAGGATATTGCTGGTATATTTCTAAAAGACGCGTAAAACGATACACACTCACTCTCTTTGATCAGAATAGTGAATACTGATTATCTAATAATATCTACACACCTCAGGACAAAATGTTACTCAGTGACAAATATTATGTCAGATGCAATTCCCTATTTTGACCTGCACCATGTTCCCGTGGTTTTCTTTCTGTCTGTGAACAATTGACTTGCCTTTGCATGTGCCACGGTGGTGTCAGATACGCTCGCTTTTCGCTAACACCTGGTATCATCACCATTTGATAGTGATTCGTGTACACATGATATAGTCGGAATCATACAATAGACTCTGCTTTTACCAGAGACTTCTTATGAATATGGAAAAGGTTTTGTCGCTTTTAATACAAACTGTTTACGTCTACATCATCTCATGCATCTTACATTAACTGTGGCTGATTGATTCTACATTTCATTGACTTACACTGGCAATCTGTCCCGGGAATGAATAATTGTCGTAAATCCGTTATTTATGTTCCTTTTGTTTCACTGTGGTTGATCAAAAGCATATATATTAGCCATGTGTCTTTGGCAAAGTCGAGACAAGCTTAAACCCTTTGTTGATTATTTATGGAGAAATTGTAATTAGTCTGGATTTCCTGGTGATGGTTTTATTCCCTTTGATCGGATGTAACGTAATCTTATATATCTGGTCAGCCATGCTGTTAAGCTCACTGGGATGTGTTCTGTTGATAGGTGCCCATTTCGGTGGACGAATGCTGGAAAGTATTGGAAAGACGTCATTTGAAATTGATTTGCTGAGTCAGCATACTGACAAATAAATTAAATCAAGGCCTCGTTACTTTCTCTACATGTGTACAAACTATTTATCTTCCTCTTTTTGCAGACAACTACGTTTTACGTTCCGTTGAACCATGCGTGCCAATTTCTTTAACTGATTATCAATTTAATTCTAGTCAGTGTGAAAAATAAAATACTTTTTGTTTCTCCGTTTCTCCGGTGAATAGCATAAATATTTGTGGTGGCTATCATATTAGTTTTAATATCCCTGATTTATCTCCTATTTAATATCATATAAAATTTACGTATATAAGGACCTCTCTACAGCGAATTAACGGATACAGCGAACTGATATCTGATCACCGACAAGCCCATCTATCACTAATTAGTGACATGTATAGCGAACTGAGAAATCTCACTCAGTGTCAAGTGTCACTGACAATTGGCTGTACGCAATCAGCGGCGAATCAAAAGCAAAATCACAAACTACACATCTCGTATGTAAATCGAAAAATGATAAATATGTTTACATTTTGTACATATATTTGATAACAATCTTCAGAAAATGTTATCAATGAATTTAATGTTATTAAATGAATGTTATTAATTGTTATCAATTGAGTGATCACTGCTAATACAAATCAATGCTGCAATTACGTGTATTGTGTTTTGTCTTATCAAAGATGACGGACGTTTCCGTGCGAAAACGTGTATAACGAACAGCGGATATAACGAACTGATTTCTCTGGTCCCTTGTAGTTCGTTATATCCGTGTATACCTTTCTTGTTAAGGGGCTGTGAGGTGGCCTCGTAGTTAAAGTGTTTACTCGTCATGCCAAAGGGCCGGGTTCCAATCCCCACGAGGGTACAATGTGTAAACTCATTTCTGGCTCTCTTCAGTGATATGGCTTGAATATTGAGCGGCATAAAACCATACTCGCTCTCTCTTGTTTGGAATGTAGTACACATTTCAGAACTGGAACACGTGCTTTCACTTTTTAGGTCAAATATGTGTCGGTATTTCCTGCGACAGTAAGGGGCTTTTTCAGACAACACTTGAACGTTGCTTTCTTGTCTCATTCAGGCCGTAGATTTGAGCTGCAAGTCAAATACATTTACACAGCGTTATCAGACCTAAATGTGGAAACCCTGTCAATATTGTGATAACAGGATGATTTATACCTGTAGCACAATTCAACTAAGGTAGATACACATGTATGCTCATTGACTGCTTGAAACGAGGCCATTCGTATATAGAAACATTTCAAAGGGGCATGAGATGTGTAGGCGTCTAGGCATTTAGAAAGTTACTAAGACAAAATTGTTATGGATGAGCAACTTCTTTATTACAATATTGCTCATCCATAACAATTTTGTCTTAGTTACCATTCCAACTTCCAAATGCCACTCAAAGACATTATTTAGAAAGTTAGATAATGGATAAATGTAAACAAACTTACGGATATAACGAACTTGCTTTTTTGTCCCTAAAATTTGCTGTAGTTATGATGTATATATGCTTATAACGGTTCGATGCTTACGAACTACGGTTATAACGAACTAAAATTAGTGGTCCCTTTGAGTTCGTTATAACCGTAGTTTACTGTATTTCATGATATGTAAAACTTGTAGGGCAGTGACAATCATAGTTAAAGCCGGCATGCCAACAAAAGGAGGATTTCGTTATCTGAAAACATTACACAGGTACACAGTTCAAATGAGTTCAAGGCTGTGCATGATACGTTGGGGTATAAATCTGTCCCTTAGTACGTACTACTGCAATCGAGATTGAGACATGATAGTTTGGGTTGACTGTACACGCGAATGCGTGTCATCGTTTGTTTAACATATTCACGGCACTTCTGTTGTAGGGACATGCATGCATGCATATTGATTCAGTATAACCCTTATGACTCATGCATGAGTAAGGTACAAGGGTATTGATACAACAAAAGCTGTTATGGTTGATGAATAGATTCGGAAGACTGGTGGATTACATAGTCGTGTCATTCTTGGTGAAACCTTTGCGGTGTTTTGATAAACTGTTTGCTCACTGCGGTTAACCAGCCTACCACAGGATACATGTAGATTAGCGTTGGGACCGAGATTACTGAGCAGCCAAGCAGACAAGAATGCAAGGGATTAATATATGTGCATTTTCTCTTTTCAACATTGAAGGAAGATATATATATAACTAAACACAAGGTGAGTTTCGATTTCCTTCATTTGACAGCACATTCTACATCAAAGAAATGTTAATGAATCGCATTTCAATAATTCAATGAAATTATATGTCACACAATATGTATGAATTATATGCTTCTAACAGACGTGTATAAAATGTTCTCAAATATTCTGACAGTGAGTGACTGATTACTGATTTATTAGTGTAATTATTTATTAATATTATTATTTAGACATGACCTTTTACACTGTTCATAATAAGCTATTGTGAAGGGTAGCAGGAGTAAGATGGTCTACATTGGATTTAGGAACCCAGTCGCCGAGTTACGATATCTGACTCTCGTTGGTACAGACTTTGAATTGGAGACTTGCGATCCTTTGTTTCCAGTTCCGTAGGTTGTTGGTTCAACATCAGTTCGCTCCGATTTTAATCCTTGGTCAGTACCTAACCCGTTTATGGTAAAGTAAACTCTCAAAGCTGTGTCCTGTTTGGCTTTTCTCCCACATGAAATGAGGCGTGATATCACCAACTGTATGTGTCTCGACATAGCAGAGATAAGATCTGCAATATACATGTGGTTATTCAAATCGATATTGTTCTTCCTACTGGTGTCCTACCACAAGACTTGCGTAAAAGCCCCTGAGCAGACTGTGTAGATAACGGTTTAAATACAAGCATCCTACCCAGGGGCGTTTAGTGTGGCCCCTATTGGTTATAGCAAGCATTACCCTGTGACAGGTTATTTTCATTTCACGGATGGCATTTCCGTGTTATATACAGGCATATACATCAGTGCTTTTTCCAAACTTTATAAAGCATCGCTGAGACAGTACAGGGAACGGTACGCAGGTAATCCATTGAAACAATATGACAGATCTTAGTTGAAGAACTATTACCACCATGATGTTTCTTCCTTCAGCGTTTATTTACACGTTAAGGTCAACTCGGCCTATATAGCCACTTTCCTGGGTCACCTGGAAGTCGCGCTTGGCTAACCCATTAACACTTTAACTTTCAAGTACGGTCTGTGAATTTAGCCCAACTGTTTTCTTTCAACCTTGAGCTATGGTACTGATAAAATAAGGCAGGTATACCTTCTTCAAACATTATCATAAAACAACGGTAATAACCAGCTCGGAAACAAAGGAGGTTGTTCATTGGTTGTTTAGAATCTCCTCTGGTAGTTAAGTGGTTAAGATCAGTCTGAATCGTAGCGTATAAAGATATAACAGGTTGTGGTTGGTCTTTGCATTGGTTGTTGTGCTTGGTAGGACCTGCTTATACCTCTCATTTGCCTTTAATCGCAAAACTGATTTCGCAACTGGATAACAGCTACATGTAATATATAGAATACAGTGACAAAGAAGAGTGATCCACGACTTTGCAGGTATATGTGATGTTTCTTTTCATCTCTACTTCCTCGTTGTACATAAATGAATACTATGTTCATTTAACCATTAGGTAACGGACTGATTAATTACTACAAATTGATAGAGATCATTGAAAATTTGACGAAAATGTCATATCGGAGATTGATATCGATATAAATGTAGACATGAGTCAAATGTTTCATTGATTTATGCATGCCACGCTCGTACACGTGTACACGCTAAATGCATGTGCCGCAAATGATCCTCGTTCGTTGACATAATCATGACACTCGCTTTGGATACAATAATATTCTATTTAACATTTGTATTGAATGCATGTAACAATTCAGTTTTATTTGGAATGATTACTTGTGCCTTTAACAGACACATGTATTTTCATCTGTTGTGGTAGGAAAACGTGTGGCGGTTGGGTTTTGTCGTATTGTGAAGGTTGAATCGGTGTCATACATACAACAGTGAAATCCATCTTTTCCTGCTCGCTTTTCAGGAAAGCCTGCTGTAACAAGATAATATCACGTACAATACTGTACAGTATTGTCTGAATTTAAGGAATCCCAACTTCCTCACAATTTGACTTATATATTTCTGTCACGAATATTTGTGGTTAATACTGCATGCTTAAGAAAGTGGGATACTGCGAGACCATCCTGTCTACGATGCAATGTCAGTGGCTTGTATACTCGATGTGGTGTTCAAGAAGTGGCATACTAAGACAATCCTTCTTTCGGTGCACTGTCGATCTGTACCTTTCATTCGATAATATGATCACTTTATAAAGCTTTTGCCCCGAATTTGATAATATATTTATAACACGTCTATAAAACCTGTTTATGTTAATACTATCATATTTATTGCACTATGTAAGTTATGCTTATCCTTCCTAAGAGAAAGCAGTATTTATAATCATGCAAAATGTGCTTCAACATTCGTGTGCTATATTTTCATGTAATACCTTGTCATAGCCAAAGATGGGATTGTCAAATTAAGAATGTTAAAAGCATATCCAATTTACTCTTTAGATACACTTAATTCCAATTTTGGTTTAGTTTCTAAATCTACACATGGTACAAAATCCATGTATTCGAATGATACATACTAAAAAAACGCTGGATTCGCCATGCCTTTTAAATATTTTCAAAGTGGTTCAATGATCCTGATAACATATTTGGTCACAAGTCGCAATCATTTATGTATTGCTTTCATGCCAACTTATGCTATTTACTTGTTACGTGTAGCCGTAATAATTACTAAAATGGCTCCACATTATAGAACATACGTCTCTATTATATTAATCAAACCGCCATCAGAAACATGGACATTGCGGTATATTTTGTCTTCGAAACATGGTTTCGTAGAATTAACTCATTCCTATATAAAAAGAGCAATGCATATTCACAGTTATATAGAATCCAGAATGTTAAACTTTAGATTTTTCAAGCTTTCCCAGTTTTACAAAACTTAAAAAACACATTTACTCTTTATTCCTAGCCATGGTTCATGGCAGTACTTGATCTTTCTGAATCAGTTAAGTACAATGAAGTTCCATATGCACCAGCAGTAGTGTATGAATCAGTCTGTCATGTGAGAGCGACGACAGTTCATTACGTTTAATGTGTGTACTCCCGGATGCAACACAATGTAGCACGTGTATCCTGAAGCTAGCTACTGTACCACGCTTGATGTATGTGTGTAATTACGTATCTCAAGCAGAGTGCAAAGCACAGTGATTTATGTCCATGTAATGGTTATGCCTCTCTGTATCCTTAAACCTCAGCAACCTGCTTATTTGTAATCGTGTAATTTAACATTATCTACGCTTCCCTTTGCTTGTTTGCATGGATTTGTATTTTGGGCAGATCCAATATCATTTTTTGATTCTTACAATGCTTACTCTCGTTGGTACATACAGTCAACTTCGGTTATAACGAACTCAAAGGGACCACTAATTCGTCATAACCGTAGTTCGTTATGGGCATACGTACAACATATATACACAAAATGGACGGGACCAAGAAACAGTTCGTTATATCCGGAAGATCGTTATAAGCGTGTTCGTTATAAACGTAGTTTACTGTATGTGGATGGTCGATATACCAAACGTTCACCATTGTCCTGTTTGCTCGTTTTGTAATGATCATATCTTTAAATGCAATAAACACTAACGTTTTAAGTTTTGCAAACTAAAATTATTATTTTAAAATTGAAAAATGCTTCAACAATCACATGCCTAAATAATTGTACACCGGTATTCTTACATTTGTTCTATTATAGCAAAACCCGTGGCCATGTATTTTAAATTATCCTATTATTCATACACTCGCAGCTGGTACAGTTAGTTAACATGTTGTCACGAACTGACAGTGTTCATTCACTCTCAACGCTTCTGCTGTGCCGCTGTCATGAATAATCCATGATGCCTCCAGGTGAACAACAACACGTTAAAGCTATTTGTGACGTCATTTCACAAACGACGCGCAACCAGAAAGGATATCTGAGGTTACATTGTTATCTTTGGTTCTCGAACTGTTATACTCCAGCTATTCCAGACGCAATTCTCTACATCTATGTGATTGTTGTGTTTAGTTAGTTCTGTAAACATTGATGGATCATGGCGTAACATAATATTTATGCTCATTCTTCATGTTCCATTATTCATCGCAGCTACAATGTATTTCTCTCAACTGATATTAATGTATCGTTATGCTATTTTAGAGTTGGACTCAGTTCTTCGTTGTTTAATGCAAGACGATTAGGTTGTATCATCGACACAGTCGCATTCGTCAATTATCAAGGTAAAAGTAGGAATATAGCACATATGTCTCATTAAAATCTTGATGTCACGTTCGGATCATAATGTGTTCTGCAATGTCTCAAAATACACCCATCAGAGAATTAATGTAAAATGCACGTTGTTATATGGATTAAATTGCTTGCATGATTCCGGTGGAAATAGAAAGTATACACCCCATACCCAACCATTACTCCATCCCCAACTGGGAGAAACAGATGTTTACTGATCCGTGACATGATGATTATAAAAGAAGGCTCGAGCAATAAAGCATTAATATCGCTTTTCACCTTTTTTCTTTTGTTCCTGCTATCCTATTAATGGATTTAACTATGCTTGCACATGGTGAAAATATAGATATGGTGAAAATATAGTATATGCATACTCCTTCATCAGGTGGATGAAGGAGTAAGCATATACTCCGAAACGTTGTCTTCCTCATAATAAAAAAGTTGACATAAACTCTCTTCCTCATATACATAAGTACATCCGATTTATCCTGATTCATCCTACACTGTCCCTACCCATTGCCAGTAAACACTGAACCCGAAACGAAACTGTTTTTTGTCATGGATGTTCCCCACAAAGACAATAGACGTCCAGAGAAGTTTCAATGTTCCGAAACACCTACGTAATATTTCACCTTTGTAACTACATGCTTGCTGTTAATGAACTGACAAAGGATATCCGATATGGTATGGAGTGGCGCAACATACAAGTTCGTGAGTTTGAAATATGTTAAGTAACACTTGCAGTAGCATTATGATTGTCAGGTCAACTTAATTCAATATTGTGAACACAAAATATTGTCAACGGTGCATTTATAAGTAATATTCTTTGACCACCTTCGATGTTAAGCGATACCGACGGCTCCACATAAGGTGAGGTGAAATGGAGTTTGACGTCGCCACATATATGTATTTATTTTGTTCGTTTAACCTACCAAAAGACGTTAAAAGCTTGTTGTTAGCCTGTCTGGCGCTCATCACCACGGGGATTAAACAAGGACCTGTCGCCCAGGTCGGCTAGCAAGCAATAACCGGCATTAGTCCGGCATGTCGCTATGTAAGTGCAATAATCTTCAACGCGACGTCAAAATACATTTCACCTCGCCACCTCGCCTCTGGGTGTGTTTGTCAGCTGAAAACCGACCAGGGATGGTGGACCTGTGAAATGTGTTAAAATACGTTGATGTTCGCTCAAACACATTATCAAGCTCAGTCTCATTGGTCAATAGCTTTCTAAATAACCGAGAATTCATCACTTTCCTTTCTCATAAAAGCTTTCAAAAGAAGGACAATACAATAACGCTCTTTTCATTACTCTATATGTCAATTTGTGCGTTCATGACAACGGAAAAGGGTCTTTATTAAGTTCTTCGTTGACAACAGCCTGATCAGAGAAGGCTGATATCAAAAATTCATTTCTAAAACCTTTGTGGAAAGTCTAATTTATTTCCCAAGAGATGCAAGTGCCAACAGCAATATCACAGCTTGCTTCAGACTCAAGTATTGCAATGACTTTGATTTCATGATGATAACATTTTGCTTGAATACAGGTATTTCCTGTCGGCTAAATAATAACCTCAGCACTTTTACAGTTGCAGCTATTCGCCGACACGCGAATTGACATATCTCAAATTACACCATCAGACAAACCACCATTTGTATTAGAGACAGGCTATTAATCCTGGCTGTTTGATTTCAGATGCAGTAGACCTTAGTTGATGATCAGCCGCAGATGGTGACAGCTCATGCATTGAGGACCGACTCTAGATATAACTGACAGGATACACAATGAATACCAGCGAGTTCCCGTTCAGCACCCTGTCTCCAGAAGGGAAGAACATGACGCCCAATGACACAAGTGAAGCAAAATATGCCATTGGAGCTACTATCATGTCCCCAATTATCATGTCGCTGGCTGGTGTTGTGGGCAATGTCCTGGCCCTCGTGGTCCTTCAAAAGACTAAGACTGAGATAAGAAGAATGATGTTTTATACATTAGTGGCAGCACTGGCTTGCACTGACTTGGCTGGAATCCTATTGACAACTCCTGTTACCGTTGCTGCCTATATGAACCGACGAGAAATGCCAGGTGGAAAGGGCCTATGTAAATTCAACGCCTTCATAATGGTGTGTTTTGGCCTGGCAACGCCTTTAATAGTCTGTGCAATGGCAGTCGAACGCTTTCTTGCCATCAAGTGTACTTACTTTTATTCCAAGCATTGTACGCCACAGAATGCCAGAATCACTGTGGTGGTGTTGTGGGCTTTTGTTTTCTTCTTTGGTGCTCTACCCTTGTTCGGCTTCGGAGACTACACTCTTCAGTACCCGCACACGTGGTGTTTCTTAAACTTCCGTACCGACGACCTTGTGTTCGCTATCTACGGTTACCTCTACGCTGGCGTCAACCTTGGCATTGTCGTTCTGATGACATGTTGCAACGTCTTCGTCATGATCACCTTGCTGCGAGTCCGTTACATTAAGCAACAACAGGGCCGGAACAGCATCTCAAGCAGCCTCTTGCACGACAGCTTCGACGACAGTCGGCGGATGCAGACTCAGATGAAACGGAATAAGCAGAATGATGTTGAGATGCAAATGATTTGGCTCATGTGTGCCATTACAACTATTTTTGCTGTTTGTTGGGCGCCGCTTATGGTGAGTAGAAGCTAACTCTATTACATCAAAATCATAAGTACTACACCGGTCTGTGTATGTTCGCGTGGAGGAAGTGCCTTTTGTGAGACTTTACTTTCACTGCCCTGATATCATGTTATATCGTATCTGTTCCACACAGCAATGGAACGTTTGGTCCGTGTGTGTAATCGTAATATCGTTGTGAGACTATAAATATCAAAGCTTGTCAGCATGGCAGTGGTATTGACCAAATTACCAAACATATCAACATGTGTTTGTTTGCTGTTTAAAGCCGCACTCAGCAATATAAGAGCTAGATTGCAGCGTCTCTGTAAATAATGGAGTCTGGACCAGACAATCCAGTGATTGACATCATGAGCATCGATCCACGCAATTGGGATGGATACAATGCCATGCATCAACCAAGTCATCGAGCCTAAACCACCCGATCCCGTTATTCGCCTCTGACGACACGTATAGTTTGCTGAAGACTAAGTCTACCCCGGGCCTTCACGGGTCCATATCAATGTAATCGTTTAAAAATTATAAATAAGGTTGTAAAGTTCTAAATTTCACCCATATGAAGTAGTACATCTTATCGTATATTTACTTGAAAGTAGTGGATTGTTATTGTATCGTCCATAATTATCTATATAGTCACTAGTATATAGTAGAAGATCAATTTTATGTTGCTAAGTGCTTTGATCTCGTCACACCAAGTATCCAGATTTGATTACCCAAAGGGATACTATGTAGAAAGCCTATGTTTGCTTCAGGCCGTTGTATGGACCGCCTCCGTGGTCTAGTGGATAGAGCTCGGCATTAAGGGAATAATACATCGGCTCGGAGTCAGTACAGTGTACTGTGTCTCAGTGCTGTATCATAACACAGACACACACAAACCGCACAAGACACACACACACAACATGCACACACACAACACGAACAAGACACACACAAACACACACAACATGCACACAACGCACATACACAACAAGCACAAGACACACACAATACGCACACACAACATGCACCTAACACGCACAACGCACACACAAGACACAAAAAACATGCACACACATTCACAAGCCACGCACGCACACACACCTGCACACACGCATAACACACACACACACACACACGCATAACACACACACACACAACATGCACACAACGCACATACACAACACACACACACACACACAACACACACAATACCCACACACAACATGCACCTAACACGCACAGCGCACACACAACACGCACAAGACACACAAAACATGCACACACATTCACACGCCACGCACGCACACACACCTACAAACACGCATAACACACACACACACACACACACACACACACATTTAAACGCGTATATAAGTGCAATAATCGTGAACGAGACATTAAAATCTCTTTCAGCTCATCCAGACTGATATATTGTTATAATATTAATAAAACATGCAGAAAACCCCATTCTCTCAAGATATTTTTATGATCTTGTAATTAAGAAATAAACGACTCGTGGTCGTTGTTTATCGTTAACTAAAACACCGCAGGGAGAACAAACCATGAAGGGCGCAGCAGTGTTTTATTGTACGATACACAACGAAAACGAGTCGTTTATTTCCTATATGGGATATCAACATTATGTACAGCCTATATGAAGACTAAGTCTACCCCGGATCTTCATGGGTCCATATCAATGTAATCGTTTAAAATTATAAATAAGGTTGTAAAGTTCTAAATTTCACCCATATGAAGTAGTACATCCTATCGTATATTTACTTGAAAGTAGTGGATTGTTATTGTATCGTCCATAATTATCTATATAGTCACTAGTATATAGTAGAAGATCAATTTTATGTTGCTAAGTGCTTTGATCTCGTCACACCAAGTATCCAGATTTGATTACCCAAAGGGATACTATGTAGAAAGCCTATGTTTGCTTCAGGCCGTTGTATGGACCGCCTCCGTGGTCTAGTGGATAGAGCTCGGCATTAAGGGAATAATACATCGGCTCGGAGTCAGTACAGTATACTGTGTCTCAGTGCTGTATCACAACACAGACACACACAAACCGCACAAGACACACACACACAACATGCACACAACGTACATACACAACATGCACCTAACAAGCACAACGCACACACAACACGTTCAAGACACACAAAACATGCACCTAACACGCACACTAAACACGCACAAGACACACAACACACACACAACAATGCACACATAGTCACACGCCACGCACGCACACACACAAACACATTTAAACGCGTATGCGCATCTCTATATAAGTGCAATAATCGTGAACGCGACATCAAAATCTTTCAGCTCATCCAGACTGATATATTGTTATAATATTAATAAAACATGCAGAAAACCCCATTCTCTCAAGATATTTTTATGATCTTGTAAATTAGAAATAAACAACTGTGGTCGTTGTTTATCGTTAAATAAACACAGCAGGGAGAACAAACCATGAAGGGCGCAGCAGTGTTTTATTGTACGATACACAACGACAACGAGTCGTTTATTTCCTATATGTGATATCAACATTATGTACAGCCTATATAAGGATGATGATAAAATGTACAGGCTTTAAAAAAATTACGCGTATTTTAATAATGATAACTGCCCCAATAGAATCCGACCTCGGCAATGTCGGACAAGTCCATTTTGTGCACAGGTGCGTATTTCCCGCATATTCTCACAATCCTCACGTCGATTACCTGTACCTTTTCTCCCAGTGCTGTCCCAAGCTGTCACATCTCTCCCGGTTTTGAATGCGATCGTTCGGCCATCTGCTTTTCCCAGCAACAGCTTTGGGAAACAACTCACTAGACACTCCCCTCTCAAAACTAACGTCGTCCAATATACGCCATAAAGTTGTGAGGGCATGTTCGAATCTCCAGAAATAATGTCATGATGGAACAATGTTTTATCGTGAAATAAACCACCCTTCGCTCTTTATTGTTCTTTGCGATTTATCCCGTAGTTATCATTTATTATATACTTAAGTGTGAAAGACTGAGTTTTCTGAAGTTGAGATTAGTGATATTTGCTGCATTGCAGTGAACATAACACTTGATATTTCACTTCAGAGAACATAACGCTTGATATTTCACTGTTGAGAACATAACATTTTGACGGAACTATTGCCATACAAGAGTTACCTCCTCTCAAATTGTCTCCCTTTAGCAAACTGTTGACGTCCTTTTTACGTTAGTTCCACATTGACAAAGCAAAATAATGACAGATGGTCATTTCAGGAGTTAATATCAATCTGTTCTGTTCTCTCGAAAATCTTTCGTTATAAACTGTAAATTTCTCATTTAATTCTTCAATCGAAACCGTTCGTTCGCCAAGCGGCATTGTTGTTACATGACCAGCGTGTATTCTTTCGCTTCCAACAGTGGTCACCAAGTTTTCATGAATTCTTTTTGTTAAAGATACTTTTGTTTATATATTTTAAGATTTTGCAAACACGAAACTACTTTTTAAGTTACTGTATCAATTACAAGGGGTTGGTGCACGGTCCCTGTGTGTAAGGTAGGGAGAATTTACATTTCAAGGTTTTACATTTGTAATGAAATAATTTAATTTTCCGGTAGACAAGTCATCAAAAAGGATATAATAAATAGGATATTCCATGTGTCGAGTGAAATATCACGTTTCTCTCATCTCGTGACGTGGGAAAAAGAGATATTTCCACGAAAATGTCTCCTTTCCCCCTGTCAAGATATTTTACTCGACACATGAAATATCCTCTATATATTTCATTATAGACAGGATGTTTGTTATATTTATTATGAATTACTATGGACTTTCCTTACTCACCCGTGAAATCCTAGTCTCATCCCTAGTCGCATCTCAGACGAGAGCACTCACACATTGTGAAGCGCAGCGGTGTCCTTGAACAGCATCGTCAAAATGGTTTGAAAAGCTTGAATACACAAGGATATTCTGTGCAAAACTATTAAAACGTTCTTGTTTGAATTAAGTTTATTTTCGGGAATTTCTATGGTCTGTTCGTACAAAGTATTTTATTTCCCCGAGTCTGTCTGAATGTTGTTTGAAGACCTAGAAAGAACTTTAATAGGGGTTTGATGTGTTTTTAAGGCATTCATATTTAAGCGTTAAATTAAGCATGAAATTGTCATGTTTTCGTGCACTTCAACTGTTAACGTTCCTGTTTGGGCTGTATTCTGTGTTGTAAGTTTATGAGTCATATCTGTAGCTGATCTACCATGCACCTTTTTGTTAATATATGTTCGACGGGATAGGTCCAATGATTAAAGCGTCCGTTCGTCGCGCTGAGTGATAATGTATTTGTATATCTACATAATCAAACACATTCTAGATGTTCATCGCCGTTATTGTCGGAATAATGCTGTTCAACGACATAAAACCCTACTCACCGTCTCATATCACATCGGACTTTCCTACAACATAAAGCGGGCGATCGGGTAGCCTAGCTCGTCACGCCGAAGACCCGGGTCCAATTCCCGACATAGGTACAATGTGTGAAGCCCATTTCTGATGTCCCCCGCCGTGATATTGCTGGGATAATTGCTAAAAGCGGCGTAAAACCATACTCACTCACTCGCTCCAACATAAAGCTTCCACTGCGTGATATATCTGGAATACTGTTCAAAGCGACATAAAGTCCAACGCACTCATGCATTTCACCACGACTCCGTGTGCTATAGACCAACATCTAGTCTCTGGAATGAACATATCGTACTGAAAAAAACAGTTGTTCAGTTATCTTAATAAAAATATAATATAAAAGGAGCCCAGTGACTCCCTTCCTGAATACTCCTGATACTGCAGTAATCTCGACTTGCCAAACATTATAGACTTGCATGGGCTGTATTTGATATATGTTTGTATCAGGGTCTGTAAGACTACGTGTGCTACTAATCGTGCTGTAACGGACAGCTGGTTAATAACAAATGCGATTACATATTATATTACTCCATAGAACAGTTTTTTTGGCAATATTTATCGAT